ATCCTTGTCTTATAATGCTCATCCTGTCAATATCAACCCAAAGTCTTTCATCTGTCTCATAAAGTTTTTCACTAGAAAAAAATTCTCCTGCATTTTGAGCCAAGGTTTGTACGCTTCTTATATTTTATGAAGCTCTATAGGAGCTACAGCCAATTAGCCAACGTTGTCAACTATCCATGCACATATGTTGTGCGCATATTCCCTGGTCACTTTATTAGGTATATCTGTTCACCTGCTAATTAATGCAAATTTCTACTCAGCTATTTACATGGCTGCATCTCAATGCATTTAACTGTGTAGACATGGTCAAAAGAACCTTCAGAAATTTAAACAGAGGATAATAGTAAAGAAACGTGACTTTGAACAAATGGTTGTTGATGCTAGACAGGCTGGTTTTGAGTATTTCAGAAAGTGGTGATGTACTGGGATTTTCCCTCACAACCATCTCTAGAATTTACATAAATTGGTCAGTGAAAATGTGTTATTGATACCAGAGGTACGAGAACATTGGGTATAGCAGCAGAAGACCACACTGGATTGCCACTCCTGCTAGCTAAGTATAGCTTACACAGGATGACCAAAATTGGACAATAGAAGATCATAAAAACATTGCCTTTTCTGATATGTCATTTCTACTGCTACATGCATATTGTTGGGTAAGAACTTAGCATAAATACCATGAACGCATTGATCCATCTGACCCTTTTCACGCTTCGCCATTCCAAAGCATGAAAACGATGTGCATGCAGAAGTTGCAGTAAATTGCCGCAACAGCAGAGGGAGATATTTTATTTCAAGCCAACATGAAAATAACCAGGAAAGTGCTAGACTGAAATTATTACCCATTTGCATGTATATAGATATTGGCCACCCATCCTATTTATTTCTGATGATTAAGAACCCTGAAATTACTTCTTGTCTTTAATATATTATCTCCCCCTGCTGGTAATGCAACTTCTGCATGTGTGTCCAGTTCACATTTTGGAGAGGCAAAGCGTGAAATAGACACAGGGGACCGGCGTGTCTATTACACATTTTGGCGTGATATCGGGTTGCTTTATGACCAATCCATGTCCCAAAGTTCAAATGATTTGGAACTGGTTTCCTCAACATGAAGATTTATGTGGTCTACTTAAACTGCCTCCACAGTAGAGCCAAACTGAAATAGGATTTGTAAGACTGACACTGATATTTTGGTTGATATATTTCACACACACAACACAAATAGATAGGTTATCATTTATTGACTTATTTATTTATTGACTTGTTTACACTTTACAAACAAATGTGCTGCCAGCAAGGAAAAACTATGCAACATCAACACTCGTAACATGATTGAAGAGTCTTTCTCCCATCTCTTCTTTACTTTTACTTTTTCATTCATAATCTGTTATAAAAGCAGATACTAATCGATCAGCAAATAGCTCATATTGGCAGATAAAATCAACTTGCCAATATATTGGTCAGGCTCTATTCTACAATCTAAAGATTTCCGTCAAGTCAAGCACTTTTGCGATGTGGTCGAATTAAAAAATTAACATCGCACAGATGTGCACTAACTGTGTGATGATATCATGTCATTATGGACCTAAATCTCTGAGAATTGTTTCCATCACCTTGTTGAATCTATGCCACAGTTCTGAGTTCCAAAGGTGGGTAGAACCTGGTACTAGCAATGTGTAACTAAGAAAAGGTAGATGGTTTGTACAATCATGCAGAAATGAGGGTGCTGCCTAATTTTCTCTGGCGCTGTTCTCTAACTGCAGGTAAAGCAGGATCATACCTCTGGGAAAACATTGCCTGTGTGTGTATATCTGTGGATTAGTGAGATAGCGAGCTGTTCAAAGGTTCAGTGTTTCTTCCAGGTATACTAAGTTTTGACTGCCTGTTGCTCAAGCTTAAAAACATAAAGACCAGCAGGCTCTTTTATGTTAATTACAAATGTGCAATGGTGGATTTCTATCCAGCAGATCAGTAAGTGTGTATAAATTATTTTTGTCTGTTTCTAAATGCAAGCGAGTACGTTTTGCAGCTTTTTTCTGTATGTTTGTGCGTCTCTTCTAAATATAAAATTTAATTTGTGGAGGTGTTAGTGATTTGAAAATGTTATGAACTGCACTATAATTGCCAAAAATATAATACTGTGTGTGTACCCCTCTCCATGTGAATACATTTAAAAATAAAATATGTGTGATTGCAAAGTGTTAAATGAGTAATAAAAAAATCAATATCCAGTTATTGACAACATATATCTGTGGACTAGTGATTGTAAATAGCGTTTAAACCGTTTACATCAATATGTAATATGGACACACCATTAACGCATATATAGACTAACCAGCTAACCTGACTATCACAGCATATAACAGTAGAACCACAATCATAATAGATCTCCTATTAGTTTTGGACCTAATTGGCTCGTCCATCCTGTCAGTAATTGTGTGCGTCCCTTGAGCGTTGATGTATTTGACATGCTGGGAAAGGGGTTTCAGGAGAGAGAGAGACTGTAAATGAGTTGGATAAAGTCTCAGAGATCCAATACAATTAAGTAATTTACTTACAGGGATGTTTGTGACCATGATATAAAATCTGTGAGACGTACAAGAAGAACCATGTAGCTGAGTTAGAGCTTGTGGATGGGCATCCTTTTGGGATATTAAAGGGAATACACCTCCGCTTTTTCTTGAAGGAGTCCATGTTTACACTATTCGGAGGCCATTTCAGGCATCCAGTTAGTAAGCTCTATGTTCTGCTGAAAATCTAAACTATTTATATTTCGTCTTCGGTTGCTTAGATGTCAGATGGCGCCACACGCAAAGGTCAGATGTGCTGTTTTTTGGGGCCCGACTGAGTATCATCAAGTGCTCCATGACATTCTGGGTCTGAGCTGCATCTTCTATACACAATGATTAAAAAGTGTTTATAGATCTTGGAATATATGTGGTTTCATTTCTGCACCTACACATTTATGAAGTTGCACTTTGCAAGATGCATAAAGTCATGTAAGACTTGATTAGTAAAAAAAAAAAAAGTCCCTTTTTAAAGTGTATTTCTGAAGTGGCAAGCCAAGCGGCTTCATTCAGCCATATAATGTACAGGTAATACTATACACCGTGAAATTAAATGTTCCTCCAGAGCATGGCAAGGCTTAAACCATACAAGACTGCAAACAGAATTACAAAAGGTACATAGCATTATACAAATATAAATATATAAATACAGTATGAATACATACAAACAAAAAAATTACATTAAAATTCCTTATAGTTTGTACTTTGCAAAACAAAACAACTGCACCACGCCGGTCCAACGTAAGATTTCTCCTGTGAATGACTTTCAAATCTGTCTGATTAATAAAAGACTCTGTGGTTTCACAGCAGCAGCTCCCTGCACCCGAACAACTTTTGTTTGGGTTTGTAATTGGATTTAACAAGCACAAGCTGCGACACAGTGTCATTTCTGTTGACTGCATGTCATTTGAGAGCAATGTGTTGAATCTGAACATTTTATTGATCGAACGGCAGCATTGAGTGATTTCCCTTTAGATCTTTATGCGCTTAATCCATTCAAAGCCTGTGCATCACCTCAACGTAAATGTTGCCATGAAATCAAATCTCTCACAATGCATCTTAAGGAATCTTATGGAATCTGAGCCCTTGTTAGTGTTTTTTTTTTCCCCTGAGTATTAATTCAAATAATCCGTGTAGGGATTAATTAGTGCTTATATTTCTTTATATAGCATCTGGGAGATTGCATTCAGAAAATCTGCTTGTGGCCAAACAGCTAGGCTGGACAAGCCTGCATCAGGCAGCTGTGGTCAGACTGTTTTCCACACAAAAGCATCCAGCAGATCAGACACAGGAATGTACAGAATTCAAAATGTGTCAAGGGAATTCAACCAGGCTCAGCCTCTATCCATTTAACATAAGATGGGTTCACTAAGGATTACTGGTTTGGTTTCTATATTAAAGAAGATTTAAATAGTTAATTCTAGTCAAGTGGAGTTGACATGAGCAATTTTCCTTGACAAATAAAGCCTGACAGCATCCCTTTTGATGAAACCACCAATTTGCCAACCAGGTGTTATAACCACCTGACCTATTCAGATATCCATACCTGCTGGGTACAGAGCAGCTGCTGACCAAATGTCAAAGCAGGTTTTTGTTGTTATGGTAGCTTATTAATATTTTCCAGAAGGCAGTCATACTGTTCTTTCCTTTCTCTCTCCCCTTTTAGCACTGACTCAATCAAAAGAGATAAGTCTTAAATCAAAATCACCACAATCATTAGCATTATTCAGTTATTTGTTATGCGTTTTATGTGTTAGTTAGAATATGGCAGTAACTCGGAACATACATATAATATACACATCTTTTTTTTTTCTTTTTTTTTTTTCTTTTTTTTAAATATTCACATAGTAACATAAACTCCATCAAAGGCGCTCTCGAGGCACGCAGGCTTATCAAGAGAGGTTTAGATACATTTTCCACTTTATTTATTTCCTGTTGTTTATAACTTGTGAAAGCTGCTTAGTGATGCTGACACAGGACGGAGTGTACAGCTTGTACAGCAGTCACCTGCGCAGCACGAAGCTTGTGCCGAAAACCCGCTGCCTCTGAAAACCCAGCACTAATTACAAATTGGAAAGCACAGATCTGAAATCAGCGCTTCGCGGGTTGGGAAGGGCACCGTGACACGGACACATCGCCACTCTCAAGTCTGAAACTAGGGTATAACTCACTTATAACCCCCCAGCCACCCACCCTTTCTTGTGGTGGTTAAAACTGTCTTATATTAACGCCCAGCAAGGATCGATAAGGTAAACAGTAGACCTGTCATACAAATAAAACTGCACAGCCGCTTGCGCTACCTGCAGTGTTATTTAATGTATGTATGTATCTTTGAGCGATATGTCATAGATTATAAACTATACCCTGGATTATTTTATTTTTTCTCAAGTTTAATACATCACACAGAGAAAACAGTAAGAACTGTCTTACCTTCACGCCATAAGTTTCAGAATCTTTGCTTTCACAGGAAGCGGCTGTTAAATCCAAGATCATCCACAGTTAGCTCCCACTGTATCCTTTATTTGCTTTACTCATTGCTTACTCTTTAAAAAAGGAACCGTCTCTTCGCGTCGTCTCTGGTGCGAGGCATTAGTTCAAGCTGGTAGGTAAAAAAAAATAAACTACTGGGAGCCAAAATACATAGCCTAACAGTGAACGAATGAATTAAACAACACCTAAGATCACTTGCTGTTTTCCGGGCGTTTAATTAAACCCTCGAGGTTTATTTTAATTTTTTAATTTTTAAATCAGTTCTGATCTTGAGAGAGCGGAGAAGCAGAAGCGGAAACTGTGCGGTGCCCTTCTGGTGTCCAGGAGCTTTACGCGGAGAGCTAAGTTACCTTCTGCACTGACGGAGACGGGAGACGCGGCGGCTGTGAAGAACTGTGGAAAATCAAGGCGGGGTTACATCTGTTTAATTCCTAAGAGGGATGCGTGTTTTTGTTTTTTTAGGGGTTTTTTTTGTAATGTCACCGGTGTAAGTGAAACCTTATTCCCTTACGTTTGCCTCAGATTTTCCACAGTTCAGTCTTCTCTCCGTGGCACGGGTTGTGCTTTTTGTGTAATAAGTAAATAATGGAAAATGGCAGTGTGTGATTTAAAAAAAAAATTGGACATCTTTTGATCACTAAATAAACAGTTGGTTAATAAGTGGGCACATGCTCTGTTAGGATGTGAGTTGGTGGATCAGCACAAGCAGTGAAAAATGATAATGAAAGAAATGAGCGAACACATGGACTTACAAATCCATCCCACGCATTCCTTATTATCATTTTCTTAGATAGAGATCTTTATTATTTATATATGTATTTTTTTTTTCATCTATTGCCAAACTTTGTCATTATTGTTAATTGCTGGCATTTCTTAGGACTCTGTTGGCTTTCATCCCAGCAATATTACACAGTGAATGCTACCAAGTGAAAGGACAGGAAGCAAACTGTTTTGTTTGTCCTTGGGACAAGTAACAAGGAAAGAATGTACAATTTCATATTACACCACTGAGATTTATTTGCACCTGCTGGTTCCATTCAGTACAAATGACACAAACCACCTTCCATCAGTGTGTGCATATATAGGGAAGTCCAAACCAGAAATATAAATGTTACATTGTTAAATTCTCCCAATTCTTTTTGATCTTTGGGCTGAAGGAAGGTCAATAATCGGTGTATAAATGCTCAATCAACAATCTTTTATTCCATACAATTCAACACTTTATGAGCATAAACCATCTGGAGGGGAGATGAGCACGGGAGGGTGTCCGCCTGATCTCGAAGTGTCTGAGCACTCCACACATTCTTATAGCTTAAGTCCCCCCCCCCCTTAGTCATAAAACCTAAACATCCACATTCTTTCTCTCTCTCGGTGAGCCTCAGTTATGACCTTGGCTTCCTGTGCAGTATGTTCTGTTCTTTTCTAATCAGACAAATAAGGCCATGACTCTCTGAAAACAGTATTTCTTATAACTCAGCAATATAATGCATCATAAAACAATATCATTCATTCACACTGAATCAGCAGTCTAATGTAATACAAATCAGTTTAACAAATGTAATAGTTATCACCTTCTAATTCAGGAGAATAATGCAAACTAAAACTACATAATAATTTCACAGTCTTTAATCAGGGGTATAACATGGCATAAGATAATATAATAATCTCACAACATCAGGATCAATTTTTGACTCTTTGTAAGTGGCATTGGACTGTTACTCTCTTTTAATGACTGCGTGTGTGTGTTAGACAGAACCTCCTAGAAAGAAACATAGTTGTTGATGATCCATTGATGATCCATTTATTCATTATTTTACAACTAGAAATGCAATGTTTTGGCACTTTAGGAAGTACATGAATAGTTATATTAAGTGCAGTCCTGTCCAACTCCAGCACTTAAAATCTAGCTTTTATATCATCTTGCTCTCTACCCTTTACACATGTGACTTAAATAAGAACTTCCATTTAAGCCAGACCTGGATAATATATTCATATCTCATTTGACATCGAAATAAAATATTAATTACAGCCTGTAGGCACAGAAATACATTAAAAAAAGGAGGAAGTAGAATAAGTCCAACAGTATGTTATACTTGGTGGCAGACGAATCACCTACAGTTTTTAAATATGTTTTTCTAAATGAATTCCTCATCATGCATGCTTTGACTTGGGAATTCTCACGTGCAGTTTTCCTAAGTGGACTTCTTCACTATTAACACTGTTTGAATGCACAAATTTTATCTTTAATGAAGCTTGCCTCGTTTTTTTTACAGGGTGACATTTCTTTGCATTGATTAGCAAACCTGACATTTTGCAAATATATTTCAAGTGCACCATGAAGATACATTTAATGTTTAACATCAAGCATTTTGACATTTATGACTGCTTTCACATGGTTCCAAAAGTAATCACTTTGCAAGTGTGTGCATATTTCACACACATTCAAGAGAAAAAGGAAATGGCAAACCACTACCAGATAGATGTTTTCCCTTTGCTGCAAATGTAATTAAAATAACATTTTTGTTGTATTGCTTCTGTGGGCAGTTGAGCTGAGTGAAAAGTTTAGAGACGTCATCTACATACTCAGTTATAAGAAATAAGTAACTGAAGTGTGACTAAAACATGGCAACATGGCTGAGAGAACACAGACAAAGCAACAAAAAAAGCTAGATTACAACACCCCAAATCTTCACAGCGGATGAAATGTCACATATTAGTGACACAACCAGAGCATTAAAATTCTCCTCTGTTGGAGGCAGCTCTCACAAGGAGAAGCTTTTTTTTTGCTTTTGCACTCTTGTGGGAATGTCTGTACCGAGGCAGATAGCCAGTTTTGACTTTATGTCTGAATCACACATAAACACAGACACAAACAGGCACATAAACTCCCACTGCTCACACACAAATATGCACACTCCCCAGGCTATCTGTGGGAGGCGCAAACACATCTAACTGCTCACTGCCATAAGGTAACGCTGGAGCCTGATGGTGCCTGATACGGTCTCTATTAATTTGTGACGATGTTAGCAGATCGCAAAATAAATGACAACAACTTTGACGCCCCCCAAATCAGAGTAATTTACAAACCAGTTTCACCCACATGTCACGCTAATGAACATCTCACAACCCACAAAAGGATTTCTTCCAGACAAGAGAACCACAAAGCACAATCTTAATGTCATGGGGCTAAGTTCTCGTCTCCAACTAGCACGCATTTTCAGCCTTGAAGGGAGCTTGGAGAAATATTGTACATTCTAGACACATGCATGCCTTTCTAAGCCTGGCCAAGCACAGAGCCACCGCCAGTGAGCAGATGCTGGCTTTAGGTGAGCTGTGGAAAAAATACATTGACCTGGCATGAAGGAGGGCCCTACTGTGACAGAAAAGATGTTCAGTCCCTATTTAACTCACATGAGCACAAAAAGCATGCACATATTTCCCATTCACTAGTCCTTAAAATGAATCATATTTTACACACCGGCAGTCAATGCTTTAAACTCGAACTCATCCTATAAAGAATTTATATGGTGTGACACTGGTGTGACATTGTGTGCTTGTTTCTGAGCTCTTTCCCTGGTTTAACACTTGCACTATACCCTGTCACACTGTATGCTGAGCGAGACAGAGTGACAAAGAGGGAGACAGTGTTGGCATGACTATCTGTTTGGGAGATAATAGTGACAGCAGTTGCTCTGCAGAAAGGACTTAAGGCATGATGAGGAAGCATGAGATTAGAGATATCCAGATATAGGAGATGTGCTCGCAGCAGTAGGGTTGAGCCATGTAAATTACAGAAGTTAATGTTCTGTTTTCAACATATCCCACAGTATGACTGAAAGCAATAATACCTTCATGCAATCCACTGCCAGACATAACTGAAAACACAAACTTTGGATTAGCATTGTGTATTTCTTTATGATGATGTAGACCGATAATGCAATTATGTTCATCAACAAGCGCATCAAATATGCATTAACTTGCAGCTGTAATGAATCCAAAACATAGACATTGCCACGTCCGTCTAGGTAACATTTGCTCAGCCGAGTCAAGTTGTTGACGATTTAATCTTTTTAGTCATGCAAGTAGTCTAACACCAGAAATGAGGATGTTACATGGTGCGCATCTTTGCCCCAAACTAAAATGTATAACAACAAGCATCACTTAAAGATGATTTCTTTTGATGATCACTTCACCTTCAGTCTTGCAACATGTCAAAATGTGAAATTCATAAGCTCTGATATTTTTGTTTTAGAGCCTAATGGTGTTGTAGAAAAGTCTCAGGCACCCCTCATGTGGGTGTGCAAAACATGTGGAAACATAAATGGAAACACATATAATTTTAACTAGTTTGAAAGTCAGTGTGATCCCAAACTGCTTCAGTAATGTTGAGGTCCAAGCTCTGGGGAGGCCAATCCATGAGTGATGATGTTCCACTGCTTGTTTTTATTTTCCAGGTATAGTGCATGACTGTCTGTTTGTGGTTATTCTCATGTTGAAAAATGATTCAAAATGCTCAAAAAATGCTCATAATTCCATCAGTTTTGACAAAATCCACAGCATCACTGGTAGGGATGGGTATCGAAAACCGGTTCTTGTTGAGAACCGGTTCCCACTGTTTCAATTCCTTGGAATCGTTTGCCATTTTTGCAAACGATTCCCTTATCGATTCCAGTCGCCCCGAATGACGTCACCACGTTGCGGAGCGTCATTTACCTGGCAGGAAACATGGCGGCTCAAACGCTAAAAAGTTTGGTCATACTTTACGAGAACGGATGACAAACAGGGCAACTTGCAATACTTGCAAAGTAGATATTTCATTTAAGGGAGGAAACACTAC